TGGAGAGCGAAGACCTTCGGTGTCAACAACCAGTAAAAAATCAAAGCCAAACTCCTCTCTGATTTTCTCGTCCACCTTTATCATCTGCATAAAAGCACCGCGCGTACACCTCCCTGCACTTACAGTGAACTGAAGACCAAACATAGTATTCAGCAAGGTTGATTTACCTGAGCTTTGGAGTCCCAAGATAGACAGCACATACACCTTTTTGTCCCCAAGCTTATCAATGAGACTCTTCAGGACAGCTTGTACCCAAATAAGGGGTACATGTGATTCGTCCCCATCCATCAGCTCTAGTGGGTATCCTGAAATTAGCATTTCAGCTCCTATTGCAGGGAGAGCAGCAACAGACTGTTCATCAGAACATTCATACATCTGACCGACCTCTCTCATGATGTGCTGTAATCCAATTGTACTCGCAGCCATCTTTTCAGAGATGGAATTAAGCTGTTTTCTGATCATATCACTTTCTTCTGCTTTCTCCTTAGTCTTGGGGACATTTCTCATTTGGGACCAAGTTAAGTGGTAATTCTCCTCAAGTCTTGCAAGGTGGTCAGAAGTTAACTCATCGAGTAAAACTCTGAGCCATTGCAGCATGTAGAATTTTGTATCTTCTGAATGACCACTTGATGTTAAACAGTCCAAGAATGATCTCATGAAATCATTAAGTGGCAAAGCTGTTTTCCTCTGTTTTTGACGTGTGGCTTTCATGTCACTTACAATCACACTTTGTTGTTGTTCAATGCTTACATTTGTCTTGCAACTCAGGCGATATTGCTGCTTATTTTTCAAGCACCAGTTATGCCACAGTTCACCATGCAGGGGCAGAAACTCCTTTTTGAAATCTGAAATGAGTTTTTCCTTCAGCAAACAAACTAAAGTCTGTGCCAGTGCATGTCCATCTTTGAATGACTGCTTGTCCTCATCAACTTTGAACTTTAGTTTTCTTGCTTCTTTAGAACAGTTATCAATGCTCTGCTTCTTGTGAGATTTTGTAATGCATTGCTTGATATTGGTTATGAGTTCCTCTGTTAACTCTGCTTCATTCCTGTTCTTGGCAGCTAGTCTCACTTTGAGTGGATTTTTTGAATCCTGAACCCTTTCACTTCCAGAAAATAGGCAAATCAATGGGACAGGAGACTGAGAGAGATTTTGACAAATTGTTTTTGTTTCTTCATCCTGTGGCTGTTCTGACAATAGGAGCACGTTCACCGTACTCACTGCCTGCAGAAATTGAAGTTGCTGTCGATGTTCTTTTGCTTCACCATGAAGGTTTAGAAACGCAACACAGTCATCAAATATGTCATCCTTCTTTCCTCCTGGACAGTACCAGGCGATCTCGACAACCCCATTCATAAGCTTGCTGTTTGGAGCACTGCCTTTACAGTGCCGATTGAAGAACACATTGTGTCTCTGTTTGCTAATGACAGAATTCAGAATTTGAGATTTGGAGGTGAAAGAGGTTCCCAACCTTAAAAAAGAGACAACTGCCACCGGTGTGCTAAACATTTGCCTGGTTTGGTATTTTCCAGGGTTGTCTGCACTTGTCATACTTTTCCATGACTTTTTGATGTGCCTTAGAGGCCAAAGAGGGAATTCCAGGTCTTCGGTACATGGGTTGGGTACTAAGAAAGGTAGTGCAAACT